CTGTACACTTAAAAATGATCCAAATGGTATATTTTATGTATATTATAATTTCAAAAAATAATTTTTAAAAATGCTATTATCTGCACATACCTTTAAATCTGCTATAAAGGCTAGTGTTATTACATAACAATTTACATAATACATTTCTCTCAGAGTTTTAAGTTGGGAAAAAGTTTGCTTTTTCCAAGGAAGGGAGATAGTTCCTTTTAACAGACAATGAGCTATGTAACTCAGGTTTTCCTATTGCCTCCCTGCCTTTTTGCCTACAGATGAGTTGTATGCTCGCCTGAAGTAGCTTTCTTCTTTTAAACTGAAGTTTCTGATATAATCATCACGTTCCACAGCCAGCTCCCACTGCATTAGCCATTTAATCTGGCTCTGATCTTTTTACTCTTGTTTTAATTTTCACCATATACAATTGGTCCTTGAACAACATGGGTCTGTATTGCGCAGGTATGCTTACACACAGATTTTCATCTATCTCTGCCACACCTAAAACAGCAAGACCAGTCCCTTCTCTTTCCCAGGCTTCTTATGCAACATGAAAATGACAAGGATGACGACCTTTATATGATGATTCATTTCCACTTAATGAGTAGTAAATATATTCTTTCTTATGATTTTCTTAATAGCATTTCTTTTCTCTAGCTTTCTTTATTATAAGCATATAGTATACACTACATATAACATACAAAATATCTGTTAATCATTACTTATGTTATTGGTAGGGTTTCCAGTCACCAGTAGTCTATCAGTACCTACATTTTAGGGGAGTCAAAAGTTATAGCAGATTTTTTTTATTGCCTGAGGGTTGGTCCCCCAATCCCCATGTTGTTCAAGGGTCAACTATAGAAGCTTTTATTACACATCTCCTTTGAAAACTGGGTAGCATATAATTAATACATTTTAGTCCTGCCTTACACTCATTTAAAACAAGCAGAGACCCCAACTAATAAAATAACGTGAATATATGAGACTTTAAACTATTTTTATTACATATGTAATTATCATACTGCAAATTCCAAAGATTTTCTTTTGATTTACCTAGCAGAATATTATTAATCAAGTTATCACTAAAATAAAGGCATTCCTTTGGGAAGTCAGAGGAATATAGTCCAGACATACAGTTTGTCCTCCAAATCCTTGAGTTCTGCCTCCTTGGATCCAACCAACTTCAGATCAAAAATAGTGAAGGTGAAAAAATAGAAGAACAGCAATATAACAATAAAAATAATAGAGATTAAAAAACAATAGCACAACAACTATTTACGTTGTCTTAGGTACGAGTAATCTAGAGATGATTTAAAGTATATGGGAGGATGTGTGTAGATTGTATCCAAATGCTATGCCATTTTATGTAAGGGACTCGAGCATCTTTGGATTTTGATACCTTTGGGGTTGGGGTCCTGGACCCAATCCCCTGCAGATACTGAGAGAAAACTTACCTTTTTAGAAATCTAGCTTAATAGAATGATAAGCTTTAGGTAAGGTTAAGAGCAGTGCTGTTCAATAGAAATATAACATGAGCCTCAAATGCAGGCCACAAACATAGTTTTAAATTATCTAGTAGATGCATTTAAAAAAGGAAAAGGAAACAGATGTTATCAATTTCAATATTATATTTGTATTTAACCCACTATATGTAAAAATATTATTTCAACATGTTATTGATGTAAAAATTATTGATGAGATAGTTTACATTCTTTTTTGTACTAAAATCTTCTAAACCCAGTATGCATTATACTTAAAGCACTTTTCAGTTCAGACCAGCCAATTTCAATTGCTCAGTAGCCATGAGTGGCTAGTGTCTAATGTACTGGACAGTGTAGATTAAAAGGAGTTAATGATTACTGTATTTGCCAATCTTCTTTGAATATCTTTTGTCTTACTAGGTTTTTTTTTTTTTCTGTAAAATATAATTTAGGTGATACTGGCTTTATCAAGAATATCTCTTACTACATATCCAAAGTAAATGAAATCAGTATCTCATAGAGATGTCTGCACCTCCATGTTTGTTTTACAGTATTCATCATAGACAAGATATGGGAATAACCTGAGTGTCTATCGATGGATGAATATATATAGTACATTTTCATGGCTGAACATAATGTAATATTATTCAGCTGTAAAAAGAAGGAAATCCTGCCATTTGCAACAACATGGACAAACCTGGAAGACATTATGCTAAATAAAATAAGCTAGGCATAGAATGTCAAATACTCACAAATATGATCTCACTTATGTATGTAGAATCTAAAATAGAAGCAAAGAGTAGAATGGTGGTTGCCAGAGAGTAGAATGGTAGGGAAATGGGGACGTGTTGGTCAAAGAGTACATAATTTCAGTTATAAGATAAGTAAGTTTTGGGAACTAATGTGTATGGAGACTTCAGATAACAGTACTATATTCTTGTAATTTGATAAGAGCAGATTCTTCAGTGTGTTCATCACATATACACACAGAAAAATGGTAACTATGGGTGATGATGGATGTGCTAATTTGACTATGGTAATCAGTAGACAATGTTATGTGTATATTAAGTCATGTTATATACCTTGAACATACACAATATTTTGTCAAATATTAATGTTTTATGACAATTTATAAATGAATTATTACTAATGAAATTATGATATGTATTATTTGCTATAATTATTCATAAATCGTTGTCCTCAACTCTGAAATAATGAAGGCAGACGTTGTATGGACAATTTTTATTGGAGGATGGTTGAGATGGGTCTTCTTTTGTGATGAGGGTGCCGTGGAAACAATAGCCAAAGAATGGTGTTTGGTGAGGGGTAGAGAATGGAAAGGTTATTCTGGAAAGAGTTCACAGCTAATGAAGGATTCTTATGACCTTTGAATGCTTCTTATCTAAGTGATCTGTTTTTATTTATTTACCTTGAATTAGCATGGACCAGTGAGGTTGTTTGGAAAATGAGGACAATATTTAAGTATAAAAATAGTAAGAGAAGTGGGTCAAGAAAGCTAATAATCACTCTGTGAGCACTGTCTGTTCATGGAGAAAATCTTTGACAGATAAGATTAAGGGTTGAGTCTTCTTTTCTAGCACTTCATCTGCACGCAGATTGTGGCTTCTCTTGCCATATATGTTTGATATTGCCCATCAGTTGTTACCTCGTTTTATCTAGATAGGCATGTGAAATTATCTAGGAAATTAAAGGATTGCAGATGGAATCAGAACCACGTTGCCATAATTTCATTCTGGCTTTAGCCTTGAGTACAGTATAGACTGAATGGAGACTACTAGGCTCTCAGCCATCTGCTGCCTTCTGATAGTGCTCTACAATAGTGTGTCTCTACTGCTTCTTTGCAGTGTGAATACTAGTGTAATATTACTCAGCCACAAGCTCTGAGAGAGTTAGATGTTCCTGTCTTAATAGAGATAAGTCATTTAGTGGGATAGCTCTTCGAATCAACCAGTGTAAGTAGCAGAGACACCAAAAACAATTAGTCTAGCTGTTAGTTTACTTTGCTTGACCCAGCAATCCACCTCTTAGTATATGCTTTGGTGACCCTCATGTACTTATGTACCAGGTGGCAGGCATGTGCTAGAATTAAGATATTCATAGTTGCATTGTTTCAGATAGTAAAAAAAGTGTTATCCATAAAAAATGGATGAATTATCAGTGAAAATTACTGAACTTTGGACACACACACATCCTGCCAGCCTTCATCAAAAAAAGTATTATTTC